GGGGAGGAGCTGTCATAATTTAAATTGGAAAAGTAGGTAATAAAATTCTGCTTTTCCCTGTGAGCGATAGAGGACAAAATGCTCAATTCGTGTAAGTATCGAAATCCACATAATTTTCACTTATGTTTACATGATGTCACAGTGTGTGGTGTTCATACATTTCGATATTTTCTACAGTTTTCAGAGGTCTCTTGGGGACCGAAGAGTCGCCGACCAGAGTATTGGAGGTGCGGTCAGATAATTATTTGTCCCGACCGATTCACTATCGTAAAGACTCCATGTTATTGTACGGTCCAAAGTTGCCTCCTGACAGCAAGAACCCAAAAGATAAATATTATGAAATCGTTCTACATAAACCCTTCACGGAGAGCTTACATCAGATGTATAGGTCAGTAGGTCATAGATAATTTCTTTATTCCTCTATTAACATTATTCAAGATCTTTTAATTGAAATATTTAGTAAATTCGTTAGTGATAAATTCCAACAAGGTACAACTGAAGTTATGATTAGTTGTTGTTTGAAAGCATCATAATGTTGTGATTTTTATTATTTTACATTTCAATCAACCTGGGTACAGGTTTCTTAAATTTGGGCCTTGGTCTGCCACGCTGGCGTAGTGTGAGATGGGGATTCATTTTTACACCTTTAAAGTTTATATTGATGTTGGTAAAAAAGGACATAGTCAGAAATAAAACAACAAATATATAAATACTGATTTTCAAGAAATGGGAAATAAGCTACAAATAAAGATGCTGATAAAAATGTTGCACACAAACATGGAACCATTGTTTTCATGCTTACTTTAATATTCTTTACAGTTTATTTCGCACAGAAAGCTTTGAAACTGCTGAGGAAATGTTCATCGTTTTTAAGGAGAGAGTACCCTTGTACATCAAAATTAGTAAAGAGGTAATTAAAATGCTTTTTACTTTTAGTAGTAATAGAGAGGTTTGTGAGAGAGCTTGTCCAGAGAAGTACTGCCACTTTACCTATTTCTGCTGCCATGCTATTGCATGAATGCTCACATTATTATGTGTTTTTACACACAGTTTTTGCGTGGCTGCCACACGGCATCTGCCCAGTTACCGCGTTTTTATGAACATTAATGGTGAATCTGAATTCTATTTAGTAGGCAACAACATTAAAATTCCTGTGAATAATACAACTGCGCGGTTTCCGCCCAGCCGTTGCGCGGTCGCCGCGTAACGGCGACCAAAGCCAAAGCAGCCTCGCCCGCGCGCCCGGGTTGCTCGTTTAAGTTAAAACGTAAATGCTAAATAAATAGAGCGTACTTTGCCATGTCAGTTATACACACGCAGTTATATACACGCAGTCGCTGCGCGGCGTCAACGCGGTGGCAACGCGGTCTATGCGTGGCGTGAGCGGGATGAAATTAGTGTCGAATAAATACGCCCTAAGGGTGCTGGTGAAATTACAGGCACATGGGGCTTGTTATGTCTCAAGGTGATGGGTGCAGTGGCAATACCCCTCAGATATATATTTAAATCGATTCGAAATTCGATTTAAAGCTCTGCGTTGCACTGCAACTGTGTCTCTTTCAACCAAAGTTTTTCTGTCACTCGATATCTTAAACATTAAAAAAAAATTTGCACTTGATGCTCTTTTAAACAAATCTCTAGTGTATTGAGACCCCATAAAGAATCCATTAAATTAACTAGGTGTGATATTTTGGCGTCTTTTTGTTATAAGATGAAGTGAATCGTTCATGTCGAATCAGTGAAGCTAAACAGTTCGACGGTTTATAATAAGATTGAAAAAAAAATGGAATAAAGCACTGCGTTTCCACACGCAAAATAGGCGCCTTGACGTCGAGTTGCGGACACTAGCCCGTTACACCAAGTACCAAGTACCAAGCACTGCGTTTCTATAATTTTACACTTTATCACTCCAGTGTACAGTAACCAGTCTCCAAAGGCTATGTGACCTGTTATCTGAGCACAAATCATGGTCAATTGCTCATGTGGTGGCTCATTTTGGACAATATGAGCTGTTCAATAACCCAGAGGTGCAGCAAAGCATTGATGAAGTTGATTCTCTCACTGGTGCTACTCCATTGATGGTAAGTGTGTGATGATTGATATTTTTATTTTTTATCTATTCTTGTATGATGTCACATAACATCTTATTGGATTCAATATGGTGGGTGGGTTATAGAGTTCATAAGTAAATACAAAATTATTTTTTTTTATCAATATAAGACGACTGTGGTTAATTAATTAAAAAAAAACTAGGATTTTTAATAATAAACTGGCGTTACTGAGTTGCTAGTTTTTGATGTAATATTTGTCTTAAGGTATCGCTTCACTGATTCACTAAGATCATCAAATAAAATTACATCTTTTAATAACTTATTATTTTAAAATAATATAATTATTGTAAGTGAATTATAATTCTTATCCGAAATAAATATTTCTGAAACAGCAAAAATGATAAAGGTATGTATATAGACGAAATATTGTTTAGTAGATTAAAACCCTAAGCTGAGAGAGTAGAAATGCGTGAAAATACAAATTTACACTTAATATGTACGCATATATGTATGTATAATTAATATGGTCAATAGTGGGAAAGTTCATTGGTAAGGCTAAAATTTGTATGAAATAGTGTTGGTTTTGTCTTTTATTCTCACATTATATCAGAATTGTTTCGTAATTTTTGAAAAATTATACCTTCTACACCCAATTCACAAATTTAAAAAAAATCAGTACTTAGATCTACCAGTCCAACCAAAATATTTGACATTTAAGTAGTATGTAAACCAGTTTGTACACCACATTGTAAACCAGTTTGTTTGTTCTAGAATTTGTAATTACAATATTTTTTGGCAATTTACGAGCATTGAAACAACTGACAGAATAGATACTATTGAAAAACATGATAATACAGCGATAATAGTGCTATGAATCTGCAATTAATGTAATAATTGTTAAGAGACCAATTTTCACATGTTAGCTGCCCCGTTGTATTCTACGTAGATATAGTTTTTTTTGGCTATATTAATTTTAACAAATCGCGTTCATTATGTTTAGTATATACATTATACTAAACGCAAAATTTTAAAGTCTGATAACAGATTCTTAAGTTGTCAATGGCTATTTTTCGTACAATCTATTTGTTACTGTTTTCTAGTGATGTTTACTGTTATAAAAAATTAAGTAATAAAAAACATATATTCTTAATCGATTTCGAGATATTTAAAATCGATGGATAATTAAATGATACAATATTTTTTCAGGTAGCAGTAAAAACAGGAAATGTGCGCATGGTGCAGAGTCTGGTCTCTTTACAATGTTCTCTGGATACAGTTGACAACGACGGAAACACGGTGTTCCACTACGCAGCAGCTAGCAATAAAGAGATTATTAATGTGAGTATGTGTTCTAGTCTATGATTGGAATAGGTGGTACTATTTTTTTCTGCTTACAACATACGGTTTAATATGGATATCCCAAAAAAATCTTTATGTCCATCTTATAAGAGCGAAAACAAACGTGCGAGCGATAGCTAAACGCGCAACGTCTTGTTCGCTCTTATTGCGCGAAGGTTTTTCTGACCGGGTCAAAGTGATTTCGTGTGAAATAGTTTCAGTATAGAGTACTAGAAAAACCGACTTCAAAAATCATTCATCCTCTTGTTTGCCACCCTTAGAGGCGGAATATTTTCCTCAAATTTAAATGGGACCACTACTAAGGTACCATCTTTCCAACAAAAAAGAATCATCAAAATCGGTTCACAAATTATCGGAGTTATCGCGTAACGTATACATACTAAAAAATGCAGTCGAATTGAGAACCTTCTCCTTTTTTTGAAGTCGTTTAAAAATGTTGTGAATCTCTTAATAGTTTCGTGTTTAGGATTTCTTAGGAGCTCCTAAATGTTGGATACACTATTTCAATAAGCATTGTGCCATCTATGGAAAAATTAAGGAATGCAAAATTTATCTTTATTTTACCATATAAAATGCATTTTTAGAATGGTTTAGCATTACAATTTTTTGCATTTAAGATTCTATACAACCTCAAATGACTTTGGTTGATTCCGCATAACAGTCAAAGTGTTGAATCAATGACTTTGGAAAAAATGTGTAGTAAAATTGCGGATATACACTGATTACTATTTGGTGCGAAAACACGGTTCCTAAAAATTTTCACGATAGCAAAAGAAACACAAACTTACCTCGAAATTTTACAAGAAAACCGCTGTATTCAATAGGTACTTAACATATACCAATGTAGAACTCGAGATATAATAATGTTTTATATTTTACATCAACTGACCTAAATAGGACATGTATAGTATACGATATACATTTTTCAAATTTCTCAAGCACAATGAACCATATTAGTACAGGACAAATTTGGATCCGAGCTGGGGTAGTATCGACCCTTAAGTATGTGTTCACCGGAGGTGCTACTTATGATACAAATAAAACGTATTTTTGCCCAATTGTGCAAAAGTGACAACTAAAATCCCTTCCAGGCGCTTGCAACTAAAAACGTATCTTCGCTCAATGTATTCAACAAGCAGGGCTATACGCCTTTACACATGGCCTGTCTCGCCAACGCCCCGGATTGCGTCCGTGCGTTGCTACTGGCTGGCGCAGATGTTAACCTGACTGCTGCTAAAAGATCTACTAGTTCATTGCCTGGTAAATTTATCTTCGTACATAATTATTAGTATTTTGTTGTATATTATTATTATACAATGTGTTGATTTGCATTCTCGCCATATTTATAGAATACTATACCCGAAACTAAACCCATATCGCTAAAAAAAAAATCTAAAAAAAATTTAAAAAATTTGGACGGCACGTACGACCAAGCAGAGAACCGAAAAAAGAGAAGCCAGTGTTGTTATCTTTTTCTCAAACGCAAGCCGTAGTGCCCTTGTTCACACAGTATGATTATATACATCCTAATTTAAAATTGACTTTCTACTAATTCAAATTAAAGAGGAATATTTTTTTAAATAGTTTTTCGACTCCGGTGTAAAGTCCTATTTAACGAGATACGACAAGATCGCTCTCCGGCGTCGATATTTAAGTTTCAAAATCAAAGAAGTTGATTTTGTTAGTGTTTATTTTTCATGTCAATGAGTAAACTAAATAATAGGTAGGTAGTTTACATTTGACAGGTTAGCTATTTTGATTTTTTATAAAATTTATTTACTTATGTTGCAATCCCTTTGATCTTTTAGATAAACAAACGAAAATGTTCTCTTTCACCAACTTACAATGTACGTTCAAAATTAACATGATAATTTACTGTTATTTCCTTATTCATATATATAAAACAGGTCCAATAAGCCAAATACCGAATAGTAACCGAATAATCGCTGCATCTCTATTAAAAAATCTTTATATTTCAGGTATTGTCGGCGATGTTCTTCAAGATAATCAACCGAAACTCTATCAACAGGACATGAAATTTGGCGGAACTCCTCTCCACTGGGCAATATCTCGCGAAGTCATTGAAGCCCTAGTGGACAAAAACTGTGATATAAACGCTTTAAATTTCGAAGGCCGTACCGCATTGCACGTTATGGTGTTACGTGGACGACTAGAATGTGCTATTGCACTGCTGTCAAGAGGCGCAGAGTTGTCAATAGGGGATAAAGAAGGCAATACACCTCTACATTTGGCCGTGAAACAATCCAACACAGCTATGGTGCAAGCGTTGGTTGTGTTTGGGGCTGACCTTGAAATGGTTAATAATGCTGGTTATACTGCAAGACATTTGGTACCAATTGAAATGTCTACTAGTAATTATGACAAGATTTTGTATATTTTGCATGCAGTTGGGGCTCAGAGGTAAGTGCAGAAAGGGACTATAATTACAGACATACATGCATATCATCACGCCTGTCTCCCACGCTCCTGACAAACCTGCCGCACGCTCCTCCCACTGCCGTTTCTTCATACATATCTCTTTATTTTTGGTACCTTTAACCCGTCCATTTTTAAAGACTATAATTATGGTTATTAAAACATAAATTTTGAATTTATTAAACCATCACGTGTGCCAAAGAGATAAGGTGTCCCGATTTTGGTAAATTTGGGTTCGATAATTGTTTTTAATTTTTTTTATAAATTACAAAAAAATGGTGGGTGAAAACAGCTCCGCGTTACAGACACCGTGTGGCTTTAGAACACTACAGTGAATAGAGCATGTCTCAGCGATGCGTGTCAGGTTCACGAAAACTCAATGAGCAAATGGTTTTTGCAATGGTGTTTCTGGTCTGTGTGTTCTTGGTAAATTAAATGGAGTAAATTCCGTTGCTCTGGTACTCATAGTACAGGCAACAGCACTTCAAGCTATACACTTTTGTTCGAATATCACCTTCAGTGCAATGGGACAAGATCCCTCGACGTGTAGCTTGATGTGCTGCCCTCTGGATACCCTAGTTTGAGACCAAGTAATGTGATTGTCTGTCAATTTTTATTGTTAATACTATATGTGCGAAGACTTGAATTAAAACAAAACTTAAATGTTTTACCTTCAGTCTTTTTACCTTAAAAAGATGGCGTTAACTTTGACATTTAGTATCCAATGTTTTGGTTAACAGTGCAAGACAAGTGACGAGATAAATAAATCGTGCGCCTGGTGGTAAGCGTCACGCCTGTCCATAACAGTTGCAGTGCCATTCAGAGCTTTAAATCGCAAAGATCTTAAGGGCACTGCGCCCGTCACCCTGAGACATAAATTCCACATGCCTGTAATTTCACCAGCACCCTTGCCCTTCTAAACCGGAACGCAGTAATGGTCACATTATTGTTTGGCGGAAGAAATAGATAAAGTGGCAGTACTTCCCGTGACGAATTCTTTCACAAGGAGCTCTACGGCTACTAAACTAAATTATTATCAGCTATAAAATTCTTTACACACAGATGCCCTCTAGAACTAGGCGGGTGTGGCGCTGGTTGTGTTGCCAGAGGGGACTACAATGGGGTTCCACCCCCTCCGGTGCCCGGGTCGGCTACAAGAGATACCATTAGCCAAATGCTATCGGTCGCAGCGATGGAGCGAGCCGCTTGTTTGGACAGCAGTCAGAAGCAGGGCAGGTTAGTTAAATCCTTCCACTAATCTAGTAGACTTTTTCCTTTGGGACAGGTTAAGGCGTCTAATTGGCCATATTGCCAGATCTTAGATTGTAATTTTACTTCAATAGTTTAATTTTCTGACATTTTTTCGCGGGAATCGTTATATCTTAACGGTGGCCATTTTGAAACTGCAACACATCTATAGTATGAATCATAATTGGATGTCCAAAATGTAAACATAGAAATATCATTGTCAATGAAATGGGTTATGCAGGTGTGCTAAACCTTTTTTTAACGGAAATAGAAAATTGGCCTCATTTTCTACTATTTTAACTATCTATTACAAAATATTTACCAATAAACAAAAACTTCAACAACAACATTATACAGTATAGTTCTGGGAACTTGTTAGTATTATACAAATAATCCTATACAAATATTCCAATAAGCTGATGGACAGCTGTCCAGAAACGTATAGATATAAAACAAAATTCCAACTTATTGTTATGGAGCAATTTCTTTCAGAAGGCCATGGAATAATAAATTATGATTGCTAATTAGTTTTACAGAAAGATAAAAAGTAGAGGAAATTAAAAATTCTAAATTTTTCAGACTCTTGTGCCTCGATGGTGGTGGCATTCGTGGTCTAGTCCTCATACAAATGCTGATAGATCTAGAGAAAGCAGTCGGTCAACCAATCATCCACTGCTTCGACTGGGTCGCAGGCACAAGTACAGGCGGCATATTGGCCTTGGCTTTATCTTGCGGAAAGACTTTGAGGGAATGCCAGAGACTGTACTTCAGAATGAAGGAATATGCTTTTGTCGGAATGAGGCCTTATCCTTCTGACGCGCTTGAAACTATCTTGAAGGAGTGCTTAGGTTTGTAATTGTGAAACATTTTAAATATTCTTTATTAAATTCACAAGGTGTGATTGGCTGAGAAATCCTAAAATTAGACGAAAAAGAGAACCTTATTAACTCTTTGAAAATTAAGGAAATTTTCAAGCTTAGGAAATATATATTTTTTTAATTTTATCCAAATGTTAACAATACTATTTATGAGTATATAACGGTTTAAAAAATATAACGGTTAGTTAACTTTATACGGGTTTTTGAATTATAGAAATCTTTCATACGCTCATGTCGGTTTATTAACAAAACGTCGTCTTACTTTTTCAAACACGTGTCTTAAGGCACAAAGTTACTGAAATGCAAAAAATAGATTGTAGGTATATACAAATTTTGTAGTCTTATTTCACATCACATTTTCTTCATATTTACACACTAGCTTTTACCCATTCTTAAAGTAATGCGTCCAAATTGACACCCTTGATAATAAATTTGAAATTTATCATGAGCTTTTCGGTGAAGGAAAACATCGTGATGAAACCTCCACGTTGAAAAAGGTTCACAACCCTCGGAAAACATGTGAAGTCCCCAACCCGCATTGGGCCAGCGTGGCGGACTATGGCGTAATCCCTCGTCTGAAAGGTGACCCGTGCCCAGCAGTGGGACTTATAAATGGGTGGATGATGATAATAAATTTAAAATAAATAGAAAGTTTTGTCATCTCCAAAGTCCAAGTCAAATAATCCTTTATAGGTAAATTTTTTCACTTAAAACGTTTTTTTTAGCTACTGCTCGTTCACTACACTGACCTTCCTGAGAAGAACGAGCAAGAAACTCTAGGGATTGCTCTTTTCAAATAAATTAAATGTTTTAGAATACATTTTGAATCATATTTGTGTGGAGTCTAGACTCACGTCGTCTTTCCATACATCTTTATCTAACGCATAGTCTCCAATTTTGTAATATGACTTTTCAGTTAAAACACTTTTGATGTAAGTTTTAAACTTAGGAAATGGTAATCTTAATATATAATCCGGAATCTTATTGTAAAAACATATACAGTTCCCCATAAATAAATAGTTTACCTTAGTTAAACGAAAACGTGGTACCATGAGTTTGGACTTAGTTCTAAGGTTAATATTAATGTTATACTCCGGAATAAGGCTCTTTATAAGATACGAGTTTGAGAAAGTAAGGCATCGAATATAAAATGTTCTTCACCTTCCGTGCTAGTGGAAAGTGTGTTACGGCAGGGTAAGATTCTCACTCAAACAATTACATTCTTTACGAATTAGTCAGTTATTAGATAATTTTGACACCTGCACTTCAATCACAAGTGAAAGTGTCGTATCTCAGAATTAACGGAATGAGACGTATTGATAGTGTGACCCTAAAATTATGTAGGAATACAACACGCATTTTCAAGATTAAAGGTCTTCTAACATCTCTTTTTGCTATGACCTCAATATGTCAGGTTACACTGGAGATGTATAGCCACTGTTAATTCGGTATATACCCACTTTAGAAGCGAGATGTAGCACAGAATTAATGCAGTGATCGATCAATAATCTTTTATTTGTTTATTACAGGCACAGAAACAGTAATGGCGGACATTAAACACCCCAAACTGATGATTCTGGCCGTGCTGGCCGATAGGAAACCTGTCGATTTGCACATCTTCCGTAATTACCAATCGGCACAGGAGATATTGGACCAACATAATGGAACTTCTAGTAAGGGTAAAGTATACACTGAATGAGTTTTTTTTTAAGTGACGGGACGAACAAGTCGTGCGCTCGATGGTAAGCTACACGAGTTATGTGGTGAAATTACGGGCATATGGGACTTGTCAACTTTTAGTGTCAAGGTGACGGGCGCAGTGGCAGTGCCTCAGATCTTTGAGGTTTAAAGCTCTGAATGGCACGTAACTGTTTTGGGTAGTCATGTCGCTTACCAACAGGCGCACGACTTGTCCTGTCACTTGCCAACATGCAATAAAAAATGTAATACTGGCAAATTTACAAACGTTGTAAACAACACACTTTTTCTTAAAATTTTGGTGAAATTTGGACAATTGATGAATTGCGAGAGCCAGAATAGAAGTGTTGTCGTATTTCGATCACAAGGAAAATCGGGTTCTCGACATTAAAGAAATACCAATTTAACTTGTTTTTTTTTTCGAACGAAATTAGTCGATGACTTTTTTATGCTTAAGTGGAAGGGTCGTAAGATTTCACATATAAACAATTTGTTTCATGTACATCGTATTATTTTTATGACTCATGTGATAAAAGCACTTTTCACTTATTATGATCAATTGATCACATAAGGTTTTATACCAACTGCCTCCGTGGCTGAACGGTTACCATGCCGGACTGCCACGCAGAGGTCCCGGGTTCGATTCTCGGGCCGGGAGAAATATTTGTATAGCCAACATTTATTTCTCTCGTGAGTTTGGGCGCAATTTGCGGTTGTCTATGTGTGTGTCCATGGCACCCGTGACACAATGTTTCCCTAGTGCGGGGCTACAAGTGTGTGCGTTATTATTATTATTACCAAGGT